TAAGGCAATGAAAAACTCAGGGAAGCTCTGTTTTCATGGACAGAGCTTACTGACTAGTGGAAAGCTTGACTGTAAAGTGGGTTGAGACTTAGTCGTTCCTTTGGGTAAACTCCAATGCCAGTGTAATTCTTTATAATTGGGCTCAACTGCTTCTACAGAGATGAATCCATTTCCCTGATTTGTAGCTCCTTAATTTAAGAGGCAAAGAGTGTGATCATTTAGCATGTAGGTTTTTATTTTCTCTTCTCATTTTTAATATGCTGCCTGCCGCCTGATCTCAGCTATGGCTGGGATTCCTGTGTCCAGACTCTCAGGTTCTGTTTTTTAAAGACTAATTCTACTTAATTAGTGAGAACTAGATAAATTGTTTATGAGGGCAAGTAGAGATCCTACTTTCAAGAATCTTTCTGATTTTAATCTAATCACTGCTTTGGGTATCTGCTACTTCAGCGCATGCACCATGAATATAATTGCTTTTCCCCACTTTAGTAGAAAAATTTCTCTCTCTCCGTGTTTCGGTTCATCTTTCTCTACCCTGCTAAATTAGCATTCTTCTCTCTCATTTCCGGATCTCAGTATTTTATTGACAACTTTCATCTGCTGTCCTTTTTATTTATTCTTTTTAAAATAATTACTCTAATTTTTGTGGTGTTTTTAGAAAAAAAAGCTGATAAAAGTTATTTTCAAAACCCTCATTTAAGTCCCACAAAACTCAGTTTCCTCATTTATAAAATGAATGGATCAAATGCCAAAATGCCAAATGCCATTTAATATATCTGAAAGCTGACTGCTGCAGAATCACCTAGGGAACTTGCCAGAGCAGATTCTTAGCTCCTTCCCATCTAGAAATATAGGTAGTTAGCCTGCTTTTATTGGGCTTCAGTCTCCAATTTTTTAAAAAGCATTCCAGGTGTTTTTTTTTTTTTAAATTTTTATTGTTGGTTGTTCAAAACATTACATAGTTCTTGATATATCATATTTCACACTTTGATTCAAGTGGGTTATGAACTCCCATTTTTACCCCGTATACAGATTGCAGAATCACATCAGTTACACATCCATTGCCAGGTGGTTTTAATAGTAACAAAATTTAGGAACTATTGGAGCAATGGCCTCTGTGACCTTCTAGCGCTAAGAATTTATGGTGTCTACTCCTTGGGTCCTGACTCTGTTCCCTAAGCCAAGGTATAAAGGACTGATTAGCACTGACCTCCATGAAAATGGAGAGTTCTTTCTGATTCCACAGCTCTGTAAAAAGTCTGGTTTAAGCACATTCTGAAGCTCAACTTAACTCTAAACTTTGGCCCCTTTTTAACTTTTCTCAATTTTATAAGTTTCTATTTTATTCTCATGAGTTCTTTAGTTTTAAATTTTCCTGGGACTCATCTTTTCTATTTCCTCTAAAAATTAGAGAATACACATAAGAATACACATGTACACTTGAGACAGAGGCCTTCTTCCCTCACTGAGACTCTCAGAGGCAGCATGGACTTTTATGCACAGAGTTGGACCATAGTAGTCTTTCCACCAAGAAGCAGAATTCAGACACACAATTTTCTATACAGAAAAGTGAGAATTTGTAAAGTGGTTTATCAAGGATGACACGATTTTTGCAATAAGTAACATGACTTATTTCCCCTTCTCCTTAGACTGATTTGTGTGGACTTTTTAGGCAAACAAACAAACAAACAAATGCCATGGTAGGGTTTATTTGTGCCCATTGTGTACACCTGGATGTTTGGATATTTCCTTGCATAATGTCTGTTCATTGCCTTGCTTACAGAGTGCTTAATAAATATTTGTGAACATGAGAATAGGTATCTAAACAGCTGACTGATAGAAATACAACTTGTTTCTTTTCAGTATAATTCCTTGAAACTAAAACTCATGACTTTGGATTATTGGCCTTTCAGTACTTTTTCAAATATTATCTTAGGTCAAAGAGTTTAATGAGATCTTCAAAGACATTAAAATTCTTCTTAGTGGTAAAACTCACTACACCTACCACACCTTGCCCTGATTTCTACTATACTCTATCTTAGAGCTGAGGGAGTAGGCAGTGATTAATGCTGTTATGGTTAGTCTATATCTTACTAATAAGAGGTTAATTCCTAAGTGTTCATTAAGTACCCACTCTGTTCCCAGCCTGTTCTAGTTAGTGTTCAGAGATAAAGAGGTAAAAGAATTTGGACCCTTTCTTGATAGAATGTATGATCTAGCTAGATGTATTTACAATTAAGGAGTTTATAAGCTCTGCTCCCCCACAACCACCCACCTTCCTGTTTATTCTGAAAGGCTACCATTGGCCTTTCCCACTGGTTTCTCTTCCCGGTCACCCATGAGTCATCAGTTCAGGCTGTGCCTAGCAGTATGAGTAGTTCTCACTGAGCTGAAAGAAAAAGTGTTACAGATGAAGACACTGGATCTAAATCCCATTTCTGTCATTTGTTAAATCTATGACCTTGAGGAAAAATCAGTCAAACTAGAGGAGTTTCAGTTTCCTCCTCCTCAAAACTAAAGTGATGATCCCTATCAGAAATAACTCATAGATAGCATATCATGTGTTATGTGCATGGAAGATGTTTAACATTATTGACTAGAGGCACAACTACTGAGAATGCTAAATGTTAGTGAAGAAGCAAGTGGAAAATGGCTCCAGTTCCAGGAAGTGCTTTTGAAGGTCATGAGGGCAATAGACCACTTGCGTCTGATCAAATTTAAGTTGCTCGTGTCCATAGCATTATTTTTATTAACTGATATTATTATGTTCATTGCGGCTTCCACCTCAAATTTCTCATACTAAAAGGAAAAATAATTAGGAAATAGTGGAATTCTGTTCAGAGAAAATAACCTACCATGTGTCTCTGTCACCCCCAAAGTGAGTGAGATTCTTTTTGTTCATTAAACAATTAGATGGCCTTTTTGTGAGAGCAGGGTATATTATCTATAGCTTGTCTTAAAATTATTTAGACCTAGGACATCTTTTACTGAGTCCATCCTAAAGACTTGACAGGAAGGAAGTAGAAGATGTTTGGAATGATTAAGTAGGGAGTAGAAAGTGATGAGAAATGAAGCTGAGGAGCTACGTGGGGGGCGGGCAGGATCATCTGGGGCTTTCTAAGCTACATTTTAACTTTGTACTTTATGGTAGAGACAAAAAATAAAAATGAAAGGGTTTTAAGTAAAGTAAATTTGCCTTTTTATTTTTTTCATTTTGTAAATGATATTAGCTAGTGGTATTTATGACTATTTAAGATAGTCATCAAGTAGCAGCATCTCAAGAACTAGGGAATGGTCGTCAGCACCACAGCTGGAGAGAGAACATAAAAGATGGGTGCCTGTGTGTCTCTGGAATTTAGCAAGGGCTGTTAGTGACCTTGGGAAGTATGTAAGTGGTGTGGCAAGAAAAAGAAACGTAAATGCATTGGGTTAGGGAATATAAGGAAGGTAAGAAAATAGAATTTGGATATATCTCTCAAACTCATTGCATATTTATTTTGTCATGATGGTTAAATTGAGATCCATCTTGCAAGTCAATGAGCATTAGAATTGGTAACTAGATACCCAAAGTATAAAAAGATAAATAAGCCATATTCCTTGCCTCTAACAATCTGGTATAGAAGACAGACCAAGGGGGGAAAAATGATTAAGTCTCTTAAAAGGACTGTTTTAAAACATCTTAAAATCAGAAGAACACATCTGAATTCCTGTGGAATTTTACAAATATACCCAGGCTCTATCCTTGAACATTTTGATTAATTAGGTCTCAGGTGGAATCAGGAATCTGCAAACTGAATAAATTCTAAGGTGATTATGACGAGATAGTTCAGGATAAGGAATATACATTTAGGAAACAGTCATGAAGAGATAAGAATTAAATGTAGGCGAGAGTGAGAATGGAAGGATGGGAACAAGGAAAACTGAGAGCAGAACTTGCTCTGTTCTACATGAAAGAAGAACCCAGAAGGGGATATGAAATAGATATACAAGGTTTTGGGAATTACCAAGTGCCACACAAATAATGAGGTGGCTTCCTAGACAAGGGCTTGGAAAAATATTCAAATAGAGGATATTTTAAACTAATTTCCAGTTTGTTTCTGATTACAAAAAATGTTACAGAGAAGCACAACAAAGAAAGCAAAAATTCTTGATAGGCCTATATCCATTGATAACTACAGCTAATTTTTCAGTAAATATCTTTCCTGTCTTTTGGCAAACATTTTAAGACATCTTGATGGAAAGACCTGTCATTTATTTAGGTTCACATTAATTTCAGGTCAAAGTGTAGGGTGAATGGATTGTTTTTGAATATGAACATGAGGGGACATGACTTTGGAACCTTTCTGGGTGAAGCTATAGCTATTCTAAAGAGTTATAGTGGAAAGTGTAGATCAGGAGTTGGCAAAGGAGAGCACTTGGGCTGAGTCCAGCCCACTGCTTGTTTTGTCAGTAAAGTTGTACCTGGGCACACAGCCACACCCATTTATTTATGTAATCTCTATGGCTACTTTCCCATTACAACTGCAGAACTGAGTACTGTGACAGAGACTAACCAGCCCATAAAGCCTAAAATACTTATGAAATGGCCCTTTACAAAAAATAATTGCTGAGTCCTGGTACAGACCAAAGATTTCCAAATATTGTTCCATGGCATGTTAGTCTCCCATGAATGCTAACAATAAGCATTCTTAAAAAATGGGTCCTATGTACAAATAAGTTTGAAAAATTTGGATTAAACAAGGTAAACCAGATGTCTTTGTGGTTGCACATTTAATAACTATGCCCCTTTATAATTGAGAAGAACAAGGCATATTATCTATAGCTTGTCTTAAAATTATTTAGACTTAGAACACCTTTTTTCCCCCCAGGAATATCTATTAACATCAAGTAGCTTCGAAATCTTTGTTTGGGAGGTTTTGCCAGGATCATGTAATGACATAAATTTGAGGCCATGGTGTAAGGAACGGTGGAAAAGCTCCATAAACTTAACAAGCCAAAACAACTGTTTACCTGAGATTTTATTGGCAGGACCTTAGCGGCCAGTCGCAGAAGAGAAGTGGGGGGAAGAGAGAGAGAGAGGAGAGAGAGAGAGGGGAAGAGAGAGGGGGAGAGAAAGAGAGGGAGAGTAAGAGAGAGAGCAAGAACAGGGTGTTGATATTTATTGGCTTAACAACGCAGGATGAGGAGGAGCAGGGCAAGTAGGCTGTTACTTCTTCATTGGCTGAGAGTTCGCACAACTTCAGGGATTGGAGGTGCGCCATTCAAAGTTCCGGCCATTCACAGGGATTGGAGGTGATGGTTCGGGCGCCATTCATGGACCTGAGCTTCCAGAAGAGAAGCGCTTGGGCGCCATCTTTACCAACACATGGTGCTTTAATTCTAGGATGTTTGTACAAAAGGCCTGCTTGCTTCCAAAGATCCAAAAACTGTTGTCTGCTGGTATATCACCTGAGCTATCTTTGTGATCTGACCTCTACAAAGGAAAATTCAGCCTGAAGCAAAATTCCAGAGAGGGCTATTCAGAATGGAGATGGGAGATATGTAGATTGGCCTCTGAGGTGGGAACTGGGGCTAATGCAGAAATCCCTTTCTGAACTTATCAGCTTTCTGAATGCCTTAGGGTGGAATTGAGGGGTAAAATGTTTGGGGTACTGTTTCCAGACAATATGATTTTCTTGTATGCTGGGCCTTTTGGCTTTTGTGTTACCCTTTATCCACAAAAAAAGGTAGTGAAAGCTATGTTTTATGACAGTGTTGGTATAAAGACAAATATAATTCAGGTAGGATACATTCTGTTTTTTTTTCTTCTGATTTGAAAGGTATTAAAATTAAAATTAAAATATTTCATGGTTTCCCAAAATATCATTGGCCTAGACTTAGTGCTTACTGTGCCTGCAGGGTGACTCAGCCCGGAGAATTGCCATGGTATAAAGTGTCTCCTACCAGCATGAAACCATCTTGAGGCTTATGAGCTTGGTACTCCATTCCTACATTAGCCATTTCAAATCCCTTGTACATATTATTGGTTCAGTAATATCTACTGAATGAATGAGTGAATGAGTGATTAATTTCAAGATTCTCAAATACCTCATTAGAGGATAAAATGGAATAGCTATACACATACAAAACAAAACAAAACAAAACAAAAAAACCACTGAGAGATGTAACCAAACTAATGCAAATTAGTAAAATAGACCAACATTTGATGGAAAGAACTCTAGAAATTGGGTTTCTTGTCATTAAGCAGCAGTGAAGCAAATCATTTCATAACTTGGGGCCTTAATTTCTTATTTAGTAAGAAAAAAACATTAACTGAAATGAAGAGGCTCTAAACATACTTTAACCAGAGTCAGAGAAAAGAGGTAAAAATTTCATAATAGGGTATGAAATACTTATCCGGTTTTAAAAACAGTCCAAGTGCTCATCTTCCTAGTTCATTTAAAAATTAAATGCTCTCCAAAATGTTAATCATGGACTATATGGTTATAGATGACATAATATGCTTTCAAAGGACAGGGCAGGAGCCCCTGCTAAGAGCAAAACAAATCAGAAAGTTCTTAAAATTTAATAAAAATCCTAATAAGTCACCTAACTCAATTTTCTTCTAATACAGGCCTCTTCTTAGAGAATATCCTTACCTGTCTTTTGTCATATCCTGTTTGAGAACAGTAATACCCTGACCACAATGTTTTGCTTTTACTAGGAATTTTGTATTATCCAACATACAATTAGTAGAAAAGAAATGGTGCCGTTAATATATCACAGAGTCAGCAACACCCACATAGGATTATTTGAGTAGAAAGATTTTAAAAAAACAACTTTCAAAACAAATATACCAACTGCTCTCCATTTGTTGTTAAGTCAGGAATGAAAAGTACTATTTTATCTGATCATAGTTTCTGATTGAATAAAAACAGCCTGTCACTGAGCAAAGGGAGGCTGGGTCAGTCCTCTTTAAATTACACAAATTTCTATCATTTTCTCCAGTGGAATAATAGGTAACTCTGAGGAAGGCCAGGCTGTACTTCTGAAATACAGAAATGGATATATGTGCTGTTTCATCTCAAGAGTGGGAGGGAGAGGTAGAAAGACTTGGAATTTGTTTAGTTTCCTCCACAGATCTCTCTCCTGTCTTTGTAGACTGTGCTGTTCTTGACTTAGAAGGGAAGAGCCCTATAGGACAGTGAGACTGTGCCCCAAGATTCTTATGCACTTTCTGCCATTTCCTTTCATCCTGAATTAAAAGGCAGTTTATCAGTAGGAATCGAATGAGACTGTAGAGGGCATTTGACTCTATCCCCCAAATGTCACTTTATAGAAGGCCTGTCTACTGTGAAGATCAAATGCTTTGGATATTACAGGAAAGTATGGATTTGACATGTTTTTTTCCACCACCAGGCACATGCTGTTTTGAGTGAAAGGAAGACAATCCATGTATATTGGGGGGTCTCTAATCATCAAAGTGCATATCTGGGTGCCCCCACGCCTTGGTTATGGACGATTTGGAGAGAATTGTAGGCTTTATCAGAGTCTCAGACATCTTAAGATGTAATTTCTCATACATATGAACTTATATAGGATTTTTTTTGGGGGGGGGTACTGGGGATTGAACTCAGGAGCACTCAACCACTGAGCCAAATCTGCAGCCCTATTTTGTACTTTATTTAGAGACAGGGTCTCACTGAGTTGCTTAGCACCTTGCTTTTGCTGAGGCTGGCTTTGAACTCACAATTCTCCTGCCTCAGCCTCCTGAACCACTGAGATTACAGGCGTGTGCCACCACGCCCGGCTCTTATATAGATTTTCCATCTCAATTTTCAATAAACTTTATTGATGTAGTTCATTTCATGAAGACTCAAGATGATATTGCTTTGAAATGCTCCAGAGAGCCTTCTCGAAATACATTGTTGATGTGGAAAAGAACTGGAGAAAAGTCAATGAGCTGCAGAAGAGAGGCTGTTCAGAGTGGATCTTTGACCCTATAATCAACATTATCTTGAATATTCTTTTTTTTTTTTCCTCTTCAGGCAGCAGTTTGTATTTTGTCATGGAAGAAATGAGAACAATTAGAATGCTTACTAGATTAGATACCAGGTGTCCGAATACAGGAGATGTCTGTTCTGGCAGATTGATCAATTTTCAATTCCAAGTATAGTACAAAGTTTTTGGTTTACAGTCTCCACCTTCCCTGGTGCCTGGTTGCTTTGCCTGAAAACCGCCCTCTCCGGAACCTAAAGTACCATTTCATTTCAGCTACTGCATCTGGAGCAAAGTGCTCCATTTCAAAGGTCAGAATATAATGAGAAGGGAAGAGTCAATTTCTAGGAAGGTACGAAGTCCTCCTAGGACAATATTTGAATGCTTCTCAAATTGCCATTCTAAAGCAAAAGCTTCCATTTACTTGTGTTTCTTCTCCTTAATTTGATCATCTGAAAGGTCAGGATTGTTGGTATTAAATTGGAATCCAATCTGCACTGACTTTGGAGTCTCCAGAGTAGTTTGGTGCAGGAATGTAGCTGGCCCTTAGGGTATCTGGATGAGTTGTCACTGACTGTGCCTTTACTATATGGCCCAGTTCTGAGAAAGCGTGGCACTTATTCAGAATGTTGAGCACGAGCTGAATCATTGGGGATTTTAATTCATTGGACTGTATAGGCATGAAACTTTTGAAAAGCCAGCAAAAATGCTCATGATCTGAAAAGGAAATTATAGGTTGAAAAACAAGGGAAAGAAACCCCAAAATAAAGCAATTTCAAAAACAAAATTATAACAATGTGTTCAGCGTTTAAAGCAAAAATGTTCTATTAGGATGAGATGGGATGTGTATTAATAGTTTGATAGAAGGATCTGGAACCCATGAAGCTTACTATGACCCTGGGCATGGGCAGTTTGAGGAAAAGCAATAGATATATTTCTTGGGTTTAAATTAATACCTCTTCTTCTTTTTTTTTTTTCTGGTTAGAAGTCTATTGTTTTTGTTTTGCCCTTTAGCAAGAGATGCTAGTAATACCAGATTAGATATAAAACAATTTCTTACGACAGATACTTAACAACATCCTGAAATTTCCACCACAGTGATGATTCTGTCTGTTAAGAGGATTAGCTTGTGTGACCTCAGAGAAGAATTTTAGCAAAATGCTGATTCTAATCCTGGTAGCAATCTTTGGACTCTCAACAACTCTTTGTGTGGGCTCTCCCCTTCCCCGTTTTAAAACTTGCAATTAACCCTGGGTAAGGAGCCTTTTTATTGAAATTTAGTTGAGGGACCCATAATTTAAGTGTACATCAGGAAACAACAGAGACAGAAACTAGGAGTTTTGCCAGACACCTGGGAACTGCTCTGTATTATCATAGAATCTTCAAGTTGGAGGGGGCCTTAGAAATCTTCCTGCTCAGCCCCTGCACTTTAGAGGTGAAGGAAGGAAGAAAGGCCCAGATGGGGAGTAACTTGCTCAACATCTTAGAGGTGATTTGTAGCAGAGAAGGGATTAGCAAAAAGCAGCTTCTGACCTTTTCTCTTACTCCTTGCTAACTGAGCCTAGAAGGAATAATAAAGTCCTCTTTGGTGTGGAAATGCTTTCTACTAAGATAAATGAATCATTGGATTTAATTTTTTTTCCCAGTGATTCAGAGCAAACTACATAGAATATGCAAGATACAGGAAGAGTCCTGGGGCTTACCATTTAGATCCTGTTTGTTTACCAAGTGTGGATAGATATGGGACCCACAGTTTCTGCTTGTTTAATAATTGTACTTTTTAGAGTCTCCACAGCCGTATTATGTTAGGCTGTGTGCCTTATGGTTGGTGAAGTTTCCATGTATCCATGGAGGATTCCTACTGTACCTAAGAAGAACTGGTACATGTTCTGCTCAGGGAATTTCCAAGTTGAACAGGCTGCACCCATTTATACTCACTGCTAATAGGAGTGTTGAGAGTTGATGGTATAATGTATCTTAGAAGTGGAAAGCATTTTACATTATGAAATATCATCTTATATAGTTTTGCCAAATTTAACTTTAATTTTTATCTCAGTTTTCCAATAACAAAAGTTAAGAGAAGATAGATCCTTAAAACTTTTCTCAAGGATACATAGTTAGTAATAGAACCTATTTTAATTTTAGGAATCTCAGTGAAGGATTTTAATATGTGGCTTTCAGTTTAATTTTAATATGTGACTTTTAGATCCTCTGTCTCGAGGCCATTTTATGATACACAAAGTTTTTAATCTAATGCTTTATCAGTTGATTTGTTCCAATGAGTCTGCACTTTCCCCACTAGGTGTTAAATTGATTTGGATGCCAGAGTTCTGCTTTTTTCCTAAAATATCTTTAGATTTTTGTGATGGAAAGCTCAGAATTTCTTTTCAGGAACATCCTCTTGCTTTGAAGCTCCATTTGCTATTTAGGCAAGGAAAATATAATTCAATGGTGGGAGATGGAACTCAGAGCTAATCGTCTGCTTTTCAGAGATGTTATTTCCAAGATATTGACAGAACTCTGTCAAGTTCCTGTGCAAAGTGTGAGGAGATGGATGTCGTATGAGGCAGAGCATTTTCTTAAAAACGTGCTGCAAAAAATCCAACTTATCTTTTGCAGACTTGAAGATAACAGTTTAACCAAGATAAAAAGCTGTAAGGGGCTATTTATCTACAACAGCAATTACTTTTGCACTAAGACATGGTTTTCCACTAAGCACAAACTTGATGTAGGAACTTTCTGAGTTTTTCCATTGAATGAAAGCACAGGGCTCTTTCCACTAATGTATAGGCACTTTTTTTACTTCAAGAAAAAAAAAAAAAAGAAAAAGCCCTGGATTTTTGTATACTCTTGTCTCTCTGATACTTTGCTATTATGGCACAACCCATGACATAGTTGTCCTCGTCTTTGTGTTTTTAAAAATCAAACTTTCCCTAAGTTGCTAGCAACTAAGTTTTAAATTACTTCATAAACAACTGAAATAAAAAAAAAATACTGTTTTTTTTTTTTTTCCTCCAGAGGTTTAGAGCCTTTTAGAAAAGTATTGACTGGCTCTCTTTGTGACTCTAATTTCAATTTCCTTCATCAAAAATGAGAATAACAATATTTCTTCATAGGGTTATTATAAGGATTAAATGAAATAATATGTGTCTAACAAAGTTACTTCTCTGTCTCTATAAATGATTGAAACAATTTACTCAAGTGAAATCCATATTGGCTTAACTTCAGCCCTGGATTGTGTACTGATGAATACCTTTTATATTTTTTCTTTCCACGGCTCCATCTGGAAGTCTATAAGCTTATGGATATAGTTGTTCAAAATCCTTCTCCTTATCTCTGCCCATTCTCAAGGAGGCCTGTGTTTTCAATTCTGTTCTATGTTTCATTTACAATTTATCATCAAACTCACTTTTACAGTTCCTTTTTACTCCCCAAGAAGTGGGGAATAAGCTAAAACATTCCATGAGGTTCATTTATGAAGCAATAAAAGAAAGTTAGTCATCAAATCAAATAAAATGGTAAAATCAAGAGACTTACTTATTTAAACTGCTTACCATCTTGCAAATAAAGATAAAAATGATTTGATAGAAGACAGATATGGAAGCAATAAAACTTTTCAGTTGCCATTTGCACCTTAGATTGGACCCCACCTAGAAGCAATTTGGAATAGAGTGACTCGAATTTACCTGTTGACTCATAATCTGGGCAAGAGACTGTTCATCCGTCCTTTCCTGTAGTTTGCTGACTTCCCGGGAACACTTACTGCTCTTGAGAGCAAGCAGGCTCCTATGGTAACCAGTGAACAAAATGGACCCTGTTGCCAGGAAAGGTACATGAAACAAAACCAAAACAAGGCAAACAGGAAGACAGGGGCTTCCCCTGTGGTTGCGAGATGTCAGGGGAAATGTAAAAAATACAATTATGAAACAGCTCAGTGCAGTGTTTAATATCGATAGTCACAACAATAGTAGTAAAATATGTATTAATATTGGCATAAAAGCTGCATCCTTTTTCCCCTTTGAGGACTTTGCTTGTGACTATAGAAATGCAGATTTCTATGACACTGTTCCCTAACTCGGACCTACTATATGGCCAGGAATTATACATTTATTTTTTTTTCAGAATCTTTATAGTCACATTAAAATTGTGTATTGTTATATAGGTATTACAGGATTCTGAACTCAGTTTAATTATCAGTTATCCCTAAGGACCTATTTAGGTCCCTCAACCATATGGTCCGATAGAACCCACTTTATAGAACTCTGTTAATTATGCAATTAATGATTTCAATACTTAATACCTAGTGTTCATATTCTCTGCTGGCTTATAGAATGAGGTATGGACCATGCTTTGTCCATAGGCTCATTCTAGGAGCCTAGCACAGTGCCTGGCACACAGAGCTTATTCAATGGACACCTGTGGAATGGCTGATATATAAGAAGACCATGGCTCAGGGGAGTGGTGTTTGCTCAGTTACACACAACTACTGAAACCACAGCCAGAGGACTTTTCACAAAACACTCTGCCTGGGATGTTGTTTTTGCCAAGAACTCAGAGTACATAGACATTCCTGCTCTTGGGTATTAATCACATTTCAGTAATCTAAATGGAAGGAATGCTGTTTTTCCTCCATTTTAAAGATGCAAACAAAACTTCAGTGTCTTGCCTAAGGTCACACATGTTCTATAATAATAAATAGATGATAATCATCTCAGTAATGACAGAAAAATAAGGCAAGACTGCTCTCCTGACGTCCAGCTGTATATGCCTGAGACAAAATTCCCCAAACTTTTCCTTACCATAATGTGAAATGCTACTATGATTGTTTGTAATTTGTCATTTTTTTTTTTTTTTGCACTTTACAATGAGCTCACTGAGGGCAGCCCCTTTTCCTCTCTATATTCCCATTTTAGATCTTAGCCCTTTCATGACGGCAACCCAATTAATCCATGTTACCCTCATCATTGTGACTGAGCTCTGATTAGCCGATTTCTTCTTCAGTGTGTGCTCCTGTGGTTCAGGCTATGTTGAGGTAGCAGATGTAAAAAATTCAGGTTGTTTCCCATTCATGGTGTCAGGGAAAATTTTGCTTATCCCTGTCCCATAGGGACTCAGGCTGAAGCAGACTCACCATCTGATGGTAATGCCATTTAGTCACCAAACTTCAGGGTTTACCACAGAAGGGATGAGAAAAGAGCAGGCAAGTCAAGCTCAAGCCATGAAACTTCGGTCCAGGGCACCCACCTTGCATCAGCTCCAGCAAGTCACTGAGTACATCTGACTTCACGGGAGCATAAAAATGTTGTTCCATGTGTAGCCAAAAGTGAAAGAGAATTAGAGGTTAGTTCTAATACAACCATCATCTAGGACCTTAGGCCGAGTAAAAGGGCAACGACAGAGGAGAGGGAAAAAAAAATAAAGAAAGATCCAGGGAGAAAGAGATTAATGGTGAGCAGAAGAGAAAAATCTCAGTAGGTCAACAGGGCTTTTATGGCAAGGTTCGTTCCTGTCCTGAAGTAGTGTGTCTTGTCTTTTCAGTTTCTCTGCATCCATCATGCACACGTCAGTAAATGAATTGTTCTTTTCCCATTGTGGGTCATGTTCTATTGATGTTCTGCCAGCATTGTGGGTCATGGTTTATTGGGAAAGGTGATCGTTATGGTTTCCTGAATCATCTCTCATGCATGAGGCATAGAAGCATAAAGACTCTTGCCTCAGACTTGAGGTAGGTGTGACAAGGAAATGAGAACAAGAAGTGGAGGTGTCTCTGACAATGGACTTATGACTCTCTTCCTTGTATTTCTCTGTCAATTAAATCTCTTACAATATTCCTTCCCCGTTGGAATCACAAACCACAAAGGAAGACTTATGGGTGACTTATTCATGGTTGTATCCCTAGAGTCTGCAAGCACCAGGCCCATAGGCAGTGTTTAATAAATATTTGTTCACTGATGGCTTAAAAGGGGCAACTTAGGGGGATGAGTTATAGCACTTATAATTAAAAATACTAAATTAAAATACTAATTAGAAATATTAAAGTTACCATTCATCTGATTAGTTTTGTTGTTGGCAAGTTAAGTAGGGAGGTTGTTTTTAATCTTTGGGTTGGTCCTTGGCAAGATCTGCTCAGTCATTTTCTTTCTAGTTGGTAGTTTGGAGGTCCCAGCAGTATAGCTTATGGCTGGCAGTCAATTAGTTGTGAATTTATTTTTAATCTTCAGCAAATGTCCCTTGTGAACAAGTACAGGATGCATCATAATTACCATCAACTACTATCTCTTCCACTCCCCTGTGTGCCTGGCAAAGTACTTTGCAAAACAGACAAAACAGAGTTCTAGTCTAAAGGATCTGACAGAACAAAATAAGGATCCTTAAGTTTTGATATACTTAAAAATAATTATTTTATGTGGGGGAGTGCTTTTCTTTTCTGATAAAGTGATTCACGGAGAACTAGAGTTTTCCAGAAGGTTATGAAAGACAGAACAATAATAAATCATGCAAATATAAAAAAATCCTTGGATAACTGTTAAATTTGGTAATAAATAATATGATTGCTAGAAGGTGATGATAGTTTGGAGACAAGAAAAGAATATTTTGACTTGTATACTGGTACATTTATTCTCCACCTGCCTGTCAAGTTGCTATGGAATGAAGATCAGAATGTATTTGATAGCCCAGTTATAATTCAGAGGCTACTTGACCTATTAAGAAATGAAGAGGGCTGGGGTTGTAGTTCAATGGTAGAGTACTTGCCTAATATGTGTGAAACACTGGGTTCAATTCTTAACTGATTTCTAATTTTTGGACAAAGTTGATTTTTGCATCCTTTGGAGTAGCTGGTTGGTTATTCCGTGTGTCAAAATAAAATAATTCACTGGTCGATGAGAAAGTGGATGTCATTAAGGCAATGTATCTTCCTTTTCAGCCTAAAAATATTTCTTAAGCAAAAATCTGGGAAATATTAATAATTAGCAAAAAGCAAGATGCTGAAAAAAATTCCCCCCCTTTTTTTTCTCCTCGGAAGATAAGAATGTATTAAGACAGATGAGACATACCTGTTGTTTTATTTCCTGCCCTGGCAGAAGAACAGAACCAAAATTATCTGTATGTATCCCAGGAAGAACAGGCAATTCTAAGGTTGGCCCCATAGACAATTTGAAATGCCAGAAATATTAAGAGGACAGAATTGGAAGAGATGAATAAACTGTTTTTCCCCTACCAACTGTATAATAAGGAAATATTTAGACTTACTAGAATCTTGTATTTCTACATCATTTTAAATAAGAAACTTTGAGGTGTACTTTTTTATGTGAGGCTCTGTTGAGATTTGATACAGAGCATAATGTTCTGTTATTTCAGAAATGTGACTAAAAAAAGAGAAAGAAAGATCTGTTTAGAACATAATAAAGAACACAATGGAAAATATATGTGAATGTGAGCACATTTGACTGTTTCCATTCTTACTAGACTTGTGCTTGCTGAAACTACTGTTTTGCAAGAGGGCAGTGTCCTTGCTCTGGTGTGTGAGAGACTGTGAGGTCACCCTCTCCACTTTGTAAAGGTAGGATCTTTCCACCAGACTCTGTTTTCATTTACTCTTAGGCAGACAGCACGACAGTGGAAAGATCAAGAACTCTGAAGTCTGTCACACCTTATAAGTTGAACTTTTCATTATTTCCTCACCATGTGACCCTTGAGTCAATCCTATTGGCTCTCCGAGACCCACTTCCTTACCTGTGAAATAAAAATAATAATATCTTCCTTGTATTTTTTTGGTGAGGATTAAATGAGATAATACACAAACTATTTCTAGTGGAATGACTCAACATCATGTCTTGGCACAATGTGATCAGTTTTGAACTACATTTGCTCATTTCATCATTCACAGGATTACTTACTCATTTGAAAACCATGAATTGCACCCCTGCTACATGCTAGATTCTGAATCTACAACCGTGGGCCAGACAGACATGGTCTGTAATTTTTGTGAACTACAAAATCAAGGAGGCAAATGATAGGTAGACAGTAATTACAATATAGTGTTCTGTATTAGGTTTTCAAATAATTGGTAAGCACCAGCATATTGAAGTTTGAGAACGATTTATATTTAAATAATGTATTTAAGGTAATAGTTATTGTTATTTTATTCTCCTTTATTCATAGCCTGCATTTTTTTTTTCCCTCAGAAGAGGAAGTAGAAATTCTATGCCATAATACCCCTCCCCGGGAGTCCTTTGCTGCCTAGCATATCATTGGTGTTAGGTGGAGAGAGTTGAGGAGAAGGACAGTGACTTGAAGCAATGGTAATGGCAGTGCAATCCTGGAAATGTTTTATTGAGACATTATGCTATAAAAGTTAATCATAGGACAACTCAGATACTCTATGTAATATTTTTCTGGCCTGTAAACTCAGTTAAGAAAATAAAGGGTTTTCATCCATAAATATTAACTATGTATCTCTAAAAGAGTTTTTCGTTTTAAAATTATAATTGCAATGACATTGTCAAAGCCAAAACATTTAAAATAGTTATTTAGTCATAAATATGCATATCCACGAAGTGTTCAAATTGTCATAGCTTTCTTACAGCTATTTCTTCCCTTCTCTTTTCTCCCCTCCCCACTCCTTCCCTTCTCTTTCTTTGAGTCAGAATCCACGTCCAGTTCATACAATGTGATTGGTTGATTTGTTATTTATATCTTCTCCAAATTGTGGGTTCTGCCTCCATTCTTTGTTTACCCCTTTTCTGGTCTCTTTGTTCAGTGAACTGGGTGGTTTGTCCTGACATGTTTCCAGAGTCTGGCCTGATTGCCTCCCCACAGTGTAGATTAGCAGGTTTTTGTATGTTTT